GAATTTACATAGTCTATGTAGAAAGCTATTGTAATGTTTCAACAAGGTATGATGAGGTCCTGACCTAAAGCATTAGCAGTAGGATGAATTTGAGAAATACTAAGAGGTAGATTTGTAGGACTGGATAATTTTAATCCAAATAAAAGCATCAAAACCCCACAGATTCTCAAAAAAGAATTCAAGGTAAAGAAATAGTGACTGTAATTTCCTGATTTGAGTGGCTAATGAATGGTAATGTTGTTAGCTGAGCCATGGAGCTTTGGAATGGCAGCCTTCTTGGTAGTCTTATTTTGGTCCTTGTTGATAATATACTAAAACTACAGTCACAGAGACCAATATGTCCACACCGTTGGCCATTTGATTAGTCATTGAGATCTTTACTTGGATATCTAATAGGCATCTTTTTTTTTAAGTATTTATTTATTTATTCATTCATTTATTTATGGCTGCATTGGGTCCCTTTTGCTGCACGTGGACTTTTCCCAGCTGTGGCGAGTGGGGGCCACTCCTTGCTGTGGTGCGTGGGCCTCCCATCACGGTGGCTTCTCCCATTACAGAGCACGGGCTCCAGGCGCGTGGGCCTCAGCAGCTGTGGAGAGCAGGCTTAGTTGCTCCCAGCAGCTGTGGTACACGGGTTTCAGTAGTTGTGGCTCACGGGCTTAGTTGCTCTGCGGCATGTGGGATCCTCCCGGACCAGGGATTGAACCCGTGTCCCCTGCACTGGCAGGCGGATTCTCAACCACTGTGCCACCAGGGAAGCCCTAACAGGCATCTTAAACTTGTGTCCACATCTTGAATTCTCGACCATTTCTCCCCAAGCTTATTCTTCCCATTGTCTTAAGTTATCTTCCTCAACAGTAAACGGCACCTCCATCCTTTCTGTAGCTTAGGATGCAAACACCGGATTCATTCTCACGTCTTTCTCTCACATCTGACAGCCAGTTCTCATTCTGATTGGCTCTGTGTTCTCATCGCATCCAATGCTATTTGCTATTGCAAGTCACCGTCATCTTTCCTTGCCCAAGTCAGAATGTACTTAATGCCACTGAATTGTACACTTGAAATGGCAACTTTTATGTTATGTTTATCACATTCAAAAAAGTTTAAAAAGTCAGACCATGTCTCAAACTCTCCAGTGACTTTTCGCTTCCTGAGTAAAGTTAAAGTCTGTAAGATTCTGCATAATCTGTCCCTCCCCAGCCCCACCACATCCCCACCATCTGAGAACTCTTCTCTTACCACTTTCCCCCTTTTGTCTCCACTGCAGCGACTGTGGCCTTCTCAGACTCACCAAGTATCCTACAGCCTCAGAGCATTTGTATTTGTTGTTCTCTGAATCTGGAGCACACTTCCCCCCTCAATTTCCACAGGGTAACCTTAATCATTTTCTTTAGGTATCGTCACTGACCAGCCTATGTATAAAATAGTACTTCCTTCCCCTGCCCTGTCATTCTATCCTTCATGTCCTCCTTTATAATCCTGTAGTTCTTCATGTCACTCATTACCCTCTGAATTACATATTTATTAGATTTTTGTTTACTGCCTATTCCTTAATTAGAATATAAGTTCCTATGAAACAAAATAGAATATAAGCTCCCATTATACTTTTACCACTTAGCAAAATACTTGGCACATGGTAGATGCTCAGTAAATATTTGGTGAATAAATTAATAATGAATGATGACCCATTATTACTGTTTTTTTTAAAACACATAAACAGAATAATTTCTAATTTAGTAAATATAATGATGTGCCAACTACATTAGATTTCTAGAGCTATCTATCAGTAAGTCACTTTATTTTCTATTTGACTGTATTTTTGTTTTCAGTGAATTTTTTTGTAATTTCATTTACTCTGCATTTATTCAACATCTTTTGAATACAGCCCTGTATTCTGCAACTGAATGAAGAGTAAAGAAACAAGGGACATGATTCTTGAATTTTAGAATCTCTAAAATTAATATTCAACACTTTTGAACATAAAAATACATATTTGAGATAATGTGAATTTCTATTGCCAAAAGCTGAACTAAAGCATTGAAACTTTACATATACAGTTTGACCTTTGTTTTTTTTTTCACGGTACATGGGCCTCTCACTGTTGTGGCCTCTCCCGTTGCGGAGCACAGGCTCCGGACGCGCAGGCTCAGCGGCCATGGCTTACAGGCCCAGACACTCCGCGGCATGTGGGATCTTCCCGGACCAGGACACGAACCCGTGTCCCCTGCATCGGCAGGCAGACTCTCAACCACTGCACCACCAGGGAAGCCCACAGTTGACCTTTGAACAACATGGGGTTTAGGGGCACCACTCCTATGTGCAGTCAAAAATATATAACTTATAGTCGGCCCTCCCTATCCATGGTTCCAACATATCCAGGGTTCCACATCTTCAGATTCAACCAACCACAGATTGTGTAGTACTGTAGTGTTTACTATTGAAAAAAATCCTTGCATTAAGTGGACCCGCGCAGTTCAAACACATGTTGTTCAAGGGGCAACTGTGTGTGTGTGTGTGTGTGTGTCTGTGTGTATCTAGGTATGTGTATAAAATATAGCTAAAGATTCCTGTATTATCAATATTGCCAAGTACAAGACATGCCATTACAATTTTTATGTAGTCAAGTACTATGACAAATTGTATAATTATAAGTATGCCTTTTTGAGAGGGGTAAAATGACAGTCATTAGTATTACATTCTAAAAGATGAAATACTTTAACTGGGTAATTGCTTTCCCAAAGTGTATCATTTCACCTCAATAAGAAAAGAAAACACATGCTTTATTTAAACAAAACTCAGTCTGATTCTCTTTCCCCCACTACAGGTAGCTTTGGATATGTTGAATCCTCAAGTTGCTTTGCCTGTTTTATACCCAAATCTTAAACAGGGTGGTGTATGTGCTGTATATCTAGCAAAGTGAGTAATGTGACTTTTTGGTAATGTTATTTTAAACACAGTTTTGTTTTAAGTACTAGGCTAAAGTGTTCATTTTGTAACTGAGTTAAGTGTATATGTTATCTCGTAAAACTGTTATGAAGGGCTTCCCTGGTGGCACAGTGGTTAAAAATCTGCCTCCCAACACAAGGGACATGGGTTCAAGCCCTGGTCTGGGAAGATCTCACATGCTGTGGAGCAACTAAGCCCATGTGCCACAACAAGAGAAGCCACCACAATGAGAAGCCCGCGCACTGCAACGAAGAGTAGCCCCCTCTCGCCACAACTAGAGAAAGCCTGCGTGCAGCAATGAACACCCAGTGCAGCCCAAAATAAATAAATTTTTTTAAAAGTAAAAAAAAAACTGTTATGAAACAGCATATGTCCCAAATTCAGTTATACTGCTGTTTAAATCATCCTTTACATAAATGGTAATATAAGATGCATATTTCTTCTGACAATTTAGAAGAAAAGTTTTTAAAAGTGTAATGTGAACAATGATGTTATAGTCTCTTTATTGTTTTTACTTAGTATTCTCCTCTTATGTGCCCTAACTTGCATTTTTACATTTTTTCCCTTTTGATTTAAGCATAGCATTTAAATTGGCGTAAGAGGTATAGTGAACTTAAATATAAAGTTATTGTTGTAGTAGAAATTTAAACTATATTTTTCACTTTTTTGAAAGCATCACACAGGTTATTGAACTTTTAGATGGAATTCGCATCTGTGAACTTGCCCTCTCATGTGAAAAGATAAGTGAAGTTATTGTCAGAGATTGGTTGGTTTGCCTTGCAAAACAGAAAAATGGAATTTTACCTCAAAAAGTGGAACCTAAAATCAACAGAGATTTACAATTACATTCTCAAAAGAAAATTAGAATTGAAGGTGAGATGTTTCAAGAAGATGACCATGGTGACCTTCAGTTTTATGCATGTGTTTGCAATAATAAATGGAGAATACATTCCTGAATGTATTGGGCAATACATTATAAAAATATTTCTCAGGGATTTATTATGTTTTTCCTATAGAAATTGAAATGTGGTATTTATTCTGTTAAATTAAAATTTTTTAAGCGACAGAATCATGACTTTTCCTGCCTTTTATGTAAAACTCTGATACCTTTGAAGAACTGAACTTCTTATAATATTCATATTTTACTTGTGACAAGGGGATTGGCTTATGAAATACTTTAAATATACTAAAGAATGTTGTAAATTTAGATCAGTGATTATCACTGAAGGGAAAGAATTTAATAGGACCCAATATGCAAATAGCTAATATTCCAAAAAGCAACTTCTAGGAATTTTTCAAAGAACTAAATTTAGGTCCTTGTTGTATGTACACATTACTTAGGCCATAAACAAGTTTTCAGACATCCATTGATTTATGATATGAGCTTATCCATTTGGTTATAAAACCATATATAGGTTTGTCATGTCATCCTTGACAAGTTGTTTCTGTAAGATAACTGTCAGAATAGCTCCAAGACAAATGCTAAAAAAAAAAAAAAAAGTCTGAGAGGAAAAAACTTATAGGAAAAGGACAGTAATTTGTTTTTTAACAGTTTTGTGAACAAATTATAAAATATTTTATGTAGCTTACAATACATATTTTGTTCTATAACAGAAGAATCACATTCTGATTTTCCCTATGGATCATTTCCCTATATTGCTAGACCTATACACTGGCAAACTGGTCATACAGGTAAGTTTTTCATGCTATATTATATGGTGTTTTCTTCTCAAAATTGCAATGACCTTACCTTTTCCTCCCTTCAAATTAGCTTTTCTTGTCAAGTTGAGGAAGTGCAAACCACAACTTAACTGAGTACCTCAGATGACAACTGATTTGAAGATGTGAAGAAAAATATCAAAATAGAACTTTGTATTGCAAATCACTACTTTCATAGATTGGTATTCTTAGCTACTACTATGATTTGTATAACTTTTACATGTAATTTTGAAAAGTAACAAAAGCTAGAGAAAGATGTGTAACATTTCGAAACTGCTTAAATGTCCCATTTTGACACTTGTCTTGCAGTTAGTTTGACATTTTGTAGTTAATGATTCCAAGTTTGTTTAGTTGAGCCATCTCATTCTTCACTTCCTGTAAACCACTCCATAGATTTGTCTTCCTTCATGAAATTAGTTTTCTTTTCTTTGTTTGATTGATGGTCATTGGCTACCAAAATAAAATATGCATTTTGAGATAAATTTTAGGTATCTGTGTATTTTAAGTACATATTTTAATGGCTTGTATGTGTCTTAAAAAATAACAAATCTGGGCTATAGTAAATAATAGGGGGAAAACTGATAAGAATAACTATCTTAAAAATTGTAACAAAAGATGTAGCAATTCTTGAATCTCTTATCTTTCTCAGAATCATTTTAACAGTTTGAAAGAACATCAGAATTATTCTGTTATATAAGTCAAATGTTTGGGGAGTTCCCTGGTGGTCCAGTTGTTAGGACTCGGCGCTTTCACTGCTGTGGCCCAGGTTCAATCCCTGGTCGGAGAACTAAGATCCTGCAAGCTGCACGGCGCAGCCAAAAATAATGTTTGGAGAGATACACTTTTTATACATATGAATTAATTAGGACTAGGGCTTATTATTATTCATAGGCACTATGAATAATGTTATTTACCATGTGCCTTACATTTACCATGTGCCTTACATTGTTTTAAGAACGTTATAATATCTTTTCATTTAATATGTGTAGCTCATCCTTAAGATTATCCATATTTTACAGATAAACATAAGCTTATAGTTATTATTTAAATATAGATGTTTTATAGGTTTTGAAGTAGTAGTGCCTGGGAGGATATATGCTACTTATCCCTTAGGCTAGAACTACTTAAAATAATGTACATATTCTAAATAACATTTTACATATTTTTCGTTCTGTGGAAAAATTTAGTCTAAAATCTCTGCCTTTTTAGACTTTACAGCCTATAGTAGAGATAGACATTAAATAATCACACAAATATAAAACTAAAACTGTTATAAATACTTCAGAGAAGTACAGGATTTAGTAGAGGTTTTGCTCTGATCAGGTAATTACCTGTGCAAGTGTCAGTTGAGCTGAGACCTGAAGGGCAGGTAAGAGTTAACTACAGCAGGGAAAATGAGAACAAAAAAGGCCAGTGATGGGGTTGACTGAAAGATAGGTAGGGGTCAGGCCATGGAGGATCTTGTAGACCTGTTAAGGAGTTTGTCTATCCTAAGAAAAATGGGGTGCTATTGAAAGATTTCATGAAATAAGTGGTAACATGCTTAGATCTGTGTTTTGGAAAAAAATCACTCTGGTTGCATTTGGAGAACTGATTGAATCATAAGCGGAGTAGTCTTCTGGTACCATTTCTAAATGGTAGGTATCCGAACACTCATACAATAATAATGGCTTTAAAGTTTTCATAACATTTCCAGATCTATAGACGCTCTGATGTATATTTTTAGATTCCATCATGGAATACTCCCCTTTCTTCTGCCTTTCTATTTAACTACTAGTGGAATTCTGTCCTTCATTTATTGTTTTGAATGCAGGCCCTAATTGTACTTCTTGGAGAAGGGGCTGACTTAAGAGCAAAGAAAAGTTGTGCCTTCTCCTATTTCATGTAGAATGGCTTCTGTTCAGTACACTATGCTCAGTAGATGCTGAACTGAACAAGAGCTAACAGTGTCCATTCTAATAATGAGTTGAAAACCAAACTATATAAGCAAATAAACATTTATTTATATAGTTAATCAAAGTCCAGCTTAAGCCCTTTATCCATCTCTCCATTGAACACTAAGCATGTTTATAATCTGGCTTGTGGGACAGGTGCCTTCTTCTAAAGTTAGCTTTCTATGTTCATGTCTGGTTCTCATTTACCATAATATAAACTCCTAGAGATTTGTGAGTGGTTCACAGCTGTCTTCCCAGTAACTTCCAAAGGCCCTGACTTTTCCACCCAGTAAATCAGTAAAAGTTTGCTGATGGCTTGAAGCCTACACTGGATCAGGTGTTATTTCATCTGTTGACTTGGTTGTTCTAGGGGGAAATTTAAGTATATAGCTCGCAGATTGTGGAAGACTCTGAGTTTGAACTTTATACTTCAGAGTCAGTAGGGAACTTCTGAAGTTTCCATGGTCATGTAAAAGCAGATACTTTTTAAAAGTTAGTCTGTTAGTGGTGTCTGAGTATTTAAAGGAAGGAAAAACTATTAAATCAGAAATGTCATAGTAATACATAGTATACAACTATGAGGTGATCTGTATTAATATACAACTATTAGGGGTGGAAAAGGGGCAAGTGTAAAAAAATACTGTGAAGGAAGAACCAGATAAGCTGGTGGTTCATTGGATGTAGAGGGAGAGAAGCTATATATATTCAAACTTTCATCTACTGTTCAGGCAAACATCTACTGTTTGCCTTATTTCTCTGGGCAAACAGGATTCAGCCCAGCTCATAAATAACTTCCTTGCAACAGCCTTCACTATGTCTCTCACCCTACAGAATTGATTCTGAAATCTTTTGTGCTCATAAATGTTGACCATATAGTTAGCATTGCCCTTATCACATCATTAATTTATAAGCCCTGATTATGCCTTCGTTAAGGATTTTAAATTGGGATGACTAGAACAGTGGTAATGACAAAAGTAAATAAGGAAGTTCAGAGAAGGATTTATTTCTGAGGAAAAATTATTTGGTTTTAGATTGCATAATGGAATGTCTTGTGCCTGCCTACGTGACCCAGGACTAAGGTTTGGTATACTGCTTTTTTCCCTTGGCTTCACTCTAAAATCTGGGGAGTCCTCAGACAATACATAATAATATGTACCCATGTCTCAGATATACTAGCCTAGGTTAAGACAGCATAAGGTAAAGAGAAACAATATAGTTCAGTAAGTATAAAAATGTGCTGTCTATTCAGATAGAACTGGGTCCTCATCTTGCTGTTTTCATTGTTGCTGTTTTACTTTGCAGCTGTGACTTTTCTGAGTTTGTTTCTTCATCAGTAAAATGAATGTCATAGTGGCACTTCAGGATTTCTTGTGGGGGGTCAGGTGTTAAATGAGACTACCTTTATAAGGTGGCTAGCACGTGATTGGTGATTGTGATGCATGTAAGTTTGTAAAGAATGCTTCATCTATCTCCCACAACCTTATCAAAATCAACTATTTTATTCTTAGTAAATGTCATAAACATGTTTATGTAAAACTTGTTCGTTGAACGTGTTGTTTTGAGAAAAAAATCTTAAGGCAGAAAAACATGTTTTTAACCTGAAAAGCAAGAAGTTGCTTGCGTTTGAAAGAAGGATGGAAGCATCGATACCAGCTATTGGTAAGTTTTATCATAAAAGCCTAAGCAGAGCATCAGCTCTTTGCGTCTCTCCTGGAGAATGAATTGAGTTGTCTGTAGCCACAAACCTTAGGTGATTCCAACCAACCACCTTATATAGACTGGAGGAAGAAAGTTTTGCTGGTAGAGGCCATTTACTGGGCATCAAAACAGCTGCTGAGGCAGTAAGAGACCACTGTTCCTGATAATACCATGTTACCCTTAATCCTCTCCACCCCCCGTTAGCCCACTGACTTGTTAAGCCTACTGAGGGAAAATGAATGTAAACGTTTATTGGTCAAGTGTATGTATGACCAATAATTTTTCTTTGTATTGCCTACCCTCTGTCATCCTGAAACAACAGGTTTTACATTTAACCTTGAATTCCCACTCAGAACAAAACACAAATGAGTAAATACTTATTTCTTCCTATATAGGACCTATATATCCTAAACCAGGGTGTCAGGGCTTTCATCCAGGGACAGGAAGAAAGCACAGTTCCATTTACAACTGCCCTAAGTCAAGTGCCCCACTTTTCATCCAAAATCCCTCAAAGACCTGCTTTCCTATTTTTCCTCGAAGCAAGCTGACTAGCAGAGCCCCTTACCCCCTGGGTGCACTCTGATTTCCCATTGAAATATCAAAGCCTAAACATAGGGTGTGACTACTTTTGATATCTAAGGCACTAGTTTGAATAAAATATAAGTGCTTCTGTTCTGCTTTAGTTAAATATGTGTTCAAATTATGGTTGGAATTCTCTCCCAGTTCACTCCATACAACCTTTCATCAGGGACTTTGTTCTTTTTTTTGTTTGTTTAATCTAATCTATTTTTTTATACAGCAGGTTCTTATTAGTCATCAATTTTCTACACATAAGTGGATACATGTGAATCCCAATCGCCCAATTCATCCCACGACCACCACCACTCCCCTGCGGCTTTCCCTCCTTGGTGTCCATACGTTTGTTCTCTACATCTGTGTCTCAATTTCTGCCCTGCAAACCGGTTCATCTGTACCATTTTTCTGGGTTCCACATATATGCATTAATATACGATATTTGTTTTTCTCTTTCTGACTTACTTCACTCTCTATGACAGTCTCTAGATCCATCCACGTCTCAACAAGTGACCCAATTTCGTTCCTTTTTATGGCTAATATTCCATTGTATATATGTACCACATCTTCTTTATCCATTCGTCTGTCAGTGGGCATTTAGGTTGCTTCCATGACCTGGCTATTGTAAATAGTGCTGCAATGAACATTGGGGTGCATGTGTCTTTTTGAATTATGGTTTTCTCTGGGTATATGCCCAGTAGTGGGATTGCTGGATCATATGGTAATTCTACTTTTAGTTTCTTAAGGAACCTCCATACTGTTCTCCATAGTGGCTGTATCAATTTACATTCCTACCAACAGTGCAAGAGGGTTCCCTTTTCTCCACACCCTCTCCAGCATTTGTTTGTAGATTTTCTGATGATGCCCATTCTAACTGGTGTGAGGTGATACCTCATTGTAGTTTTCATTTGCATTTCTGTAATAATTAGTGATCTTGAGCAGCTTTTCATGTGCTTCTTGGCCATCTGTATGTCTTCTTTTGAGAAATGTCTATTTAGGTCTTCTGCCCATTTTTGGGTTGGGTTGTTTCTTTAGTATTGAGCTGCATGAGCTATTTATATGTTTTGGAGATTAATCCTTTGTTGATTCGTTTGCAAATGTTTTCTCCCATTCTGAGGGTTGTGTTTTTGTCTTCTTTATGGTTTCCTTTGCTGTGCAAAAGCTTTGAAGTTTCATTAGGTCCCATTTGTTTATTTTTGTTTTCATTTCCATTACTCTAGGAGGTGGATCAAAAAAGATCTTGCT